GGGGAACAAACCCTTGATGTGGCCCAGGCTGGCCTTCTGCGTAACTGATAATGAGCTTGAGCTTCTGATCCTTCTGCCTCCCTCTTCCATACAATCTAGGTATGTGCTAGTCAGGCCTGGTTTGATGGGATGCTGCGAACTTAACCTGGGGACTCATAGATACTAGGAAAACACTCTACCAATCGAGTTACATCCCCACCTCCTGGGAACGTCATTTTAAAAGGCAGTGAATACTATTCACCTGTCAAGTCCTTACTGTAGACGAACTCAGACCAGAGGGAGTGGGAGATAGGAGGAAGAAGGAGGGAGGAGGCAGAGCGAGAAGGGCAACAGACCACTGGAAGGCTGCATTAGGGTGGCTTCTCAGATGCTCACTTCCTTTCGGATAGCAAGGACAAGGTTTTAGCAAAGGCCAGCAGCATGCTCAGAATTCAGACTCTTTTCAAAGGAGAGATCTTTGCTCACAACTGTTAAAAAGCCACATTTTCCCCTTTCTTCCCAGTAACAAGGTCCAGAAAATATCGAGAAGAAGGAGGGCAATGGGAAGATTCTCCACAGAAGACTGCAAGGCCTCCTGAGACAGTAAGTACGCCACAGATTTTATTCTGAGTGTTTTTATGAACTGTCATGAAAAGTTCTCATTTTGCCTAAAAGCATTCTGTGTTTTTAAGCAAGTGCAAAGTGTTGTTGAGAAATCCCTCTAGGCCAACAGATTGGATTCTAGGGCAAGTTTGTGTAATGCCAGTGTTTCCTAATTCCTGGTTTTCCTCTGAAGACTTTGTGTTCTGGTGGCATTCAAATATCACTCTTGCCTGGAGTTAGCTCAGCAGTAGAGCATATGCTTAGGTGTTCAAGGCCTTGGGGTCTATTTCCCAACCCCCAATCCCATGTAGGTCATTCACTGTGAATGCTTTTTACAACCAGCTAACTTCAGAACAGAAATCTTCTCTATTAATGAGACCTTATGTTGACAGAAGCCATAGAGAACCAGATTTATTTTTCTTATAGTCTTTTAGAAAATTCAGTGCCTCCATCTTGGAGAGACATTTGAGTTTGGCTACAGAACCAATTTCCGAACCTGAAGATTTGGGAATTTTCCTTCCTGCACAGAAGAAAATTGAGCTGTCATTCTTCCCCCTTATTTTCTAGCGAAGAATTCTGGGAAGGGAAGTTCAGCTAGGGAAGGTGTTTGCAGGGAGGTTTGGACTGCACACGCTGGAATGACTCATTCACGGTCAGGCAAAGTCAAAACAAAGTGAGGGTTGGACACAGTGGCCAACCTTTAAGAATCTCACACCTTCAGTAGGTGGTTTTTTTTTTTTTTGGAGGTAAAATATGGTCAGAAGTTAGGGGTTTGTGGTGTTATTTTTTACCTCTAATTTTCAGAAGAGACCACCCCCCCCCATAACATCACTGATCTTGCCTTCTATCCCTAGAGGAACAGGTTGGGACACCCGTATTCCTACTGTAAGTGCTTACTTACAAACCCACACTGGCAGTTTTTCTCTAAAGAGCAAGTCTTTGAGTTGAGAAAGCCCCAGAACTCGAAGGATGACTCTCATTGAAGGAAAAGCTGCTGGCCCAAGCGTCTGCACTATATTTTGTGTCTTGTGTATTCACAACGGGTACTAGCCCATACCCATCCCTGAGGACATAGACCACCCAGCAATGCCCCATGGGTATTTGTCTTCACAAAGGGTACTAGGCCATTACCATCACTGAGGATATAGACCACCCAGCAAGGTCCCGTGGGTATCTGAAACGGTTCTGTTTTATGGTGTCTGCTGGGCAGGTCCTTCTCTGTTTTGCTCAAGTCTTGAACTTCTCACTAGGTTCTAGGCTGGGGGCTAAGACCACACTTTCCTGGCCGTTGCTTTCTCTGTTTGCACAGGAAATGCCTGTAGGTCTGGCAGGCACTTCTTCCTCTCTCCACACTCCCATTCCAAACTATGCATTCAATATTTGAGAACCTTTAACTGCTTTCCCTCTTAGCCTGGACCACACTTGGGGGCACATTTTCTGTTAAGTTATATAATAACTTGTATAACTGTTTCCCATCAGCTGGCTTAGAAGGGACTGTGTCTGTAGTCATCAGATATCCTATAAATTCCAGCTTATAAACTACAATGGCACGCTTTTTTGTTGTTTGTTTGTTTTTCAAGACATGGTTTCTCTGTGTAGCCCTGGTTGTACTGGAACTCACTATGTAAACCAGGCTGGCCTTGAATACTGAGACACTGACCCTACCCCATGCCTCCTGAGTGCTGAAGCTAAAGGTGTAAGCCACCACTGCCCAGTTTAAATGCCACTCTTATAAATATGCAAGAAACCTAAGAATCATTTTCTTCATCTGAACTAGTTTTTTTCAATATAGTAATATAGAAGTAGGAGAAAACCATTAGAAATCAGAGGGCTAGGGGTAGAGTTGGATATTTATTTGAAATAAAGTAAAATTCCTTTATTTAACCCTTTGCACATGATGTCGTGACTCTGGTTGCTTTAGACCATGGTGAACTAGCAGTGCACAATGCAGATACAGCTCTTGAGAAAGGACAGCTTGCCAACTAAATGAACAATTTACCTATAATATTAGTAAGACCTCTTTGTTTTGAAGAAACATAAAGAAGCATGACGGCCTTTGAGCAAGGCCTTGAAAGGGGACTATGTTGACATTTGGAAGAAATTGAGTCCCCCTCACAGGAAATAGACAGTGAGTACAGAGAACCCTGCAGTGACTGAGAAACAGGAGGAAACCTGGCTGGGGCAGAGGTAAGGGTAGGAGTAGAGCTTTTCGCACTTTGTAGGCGATCTGGGTACTTGGACTTTTACCACAGGGGGATGAGGATTCAGAGGAGTGTTCAAACAGGGGAGCAACAGGCCCTCATTCGACAAGTCATTATCTGCAAGGCCAGGGGACAGTCAGCGGGCAGGCATAAAAGAGGAGAGGCAGGTAAGATCACCAAAATGAGCTCCAGAATTCATTGTCCTGGAAATTATAAAACATGCTTTGGGTGTAAACAAAAGGGAAGGGAACTACAATTACGGAGTACAAAATAAGAGTGGGAAACATTTTAAAAAATGCTTAAGCTGTGAGGCAAAAGGTTCCATTTGGCAACTAATGTGCTGCCCCATCTATTCTCGATGCCGCGGACTCTGGACCTATGCTCCAGAGGCGATCTTCTCCAGAGCTAGCAGCAGCTGGTCAGTACACAGATGGTGGTGCGCACGCCTTTAGTTCCTGCTCTCAGGAGGCAGAAGCAGGCGAACCTCTGAGTTCGAGGACAGCCTCACCTACAAAGTGAGTTCCAGGACAGCCAGGGCTACACAAAGAAACCCTGTCTCGAAAAACAAGCAAAAAGCAAAAGCAAAAAAATAAGCTTTTATGGGCTTTCTCAAATTTTCCCAAAATTACCTGGATGACCCCCTCCCTCCAAAAAGCAGGTCCCATCTCATTCTGTGATTATAGCACGACTGCATGAGAATTCCTGTGATTAAGGTTTGTTTGGGAAGTTGCTCACTAACTTCCCCACGCTTTACTTGGGCACACTTCGGAGTTTGCTGAGGTCTAGAAAACACCACAGGACATCCGTGAGAGCCGGCAGGTGGCGCCACGTGATCGTGAGCAGCCGAGGGCGCTCAGAGGCCTGCAGACAGCGGGTCCACAGCGTTGCCAGGGCCACCCTGTCACTTCGAATCTCCCGAGGAGCGATGTGCAGGAGTGCAGGCTGGGGGCTTGTCCAGTATCCCCATTTGATTTTAGGTTCTGTGCACCCTAAGCCGCCTCCACTCGGCTCTGGTGCTCCCAGGGCAGGAGGGCTCAACTCTTTCTGCACCGACGCGGAGCCCCGTGGAGCCCGCAAGGTCCTGCAGCGAGGAACCGCAGCCTCCCGCCTCGGGGCAGTGCTGCAGGTCTGCCAGGCCACGCGCGGGGGATCTACTACAGAGACCCCACAGGGAGCGCCGCACCCGCGGACCGCTCCTCTTCATTGGCTGCCTGGAGGAAGACCACGCCCCTTTCCCTACAGCGCTCCTCTTTGACTGGTTCTCGGGTCCGGGATGGCCACGCCTTCTCCCCTCGCATACACAAGAGTCACGCGCCTTTCAGTTGGAAACTTGGCATGCTGAGGAGGACAGTGGCCCTCATCTCCCCGCCCACCTCCCGTGCCATTGGTGCGGCACGCCGACTGCGACCACGCCCCCATTCCAGCCCCCTGGCTGGGAAGGCGGGCACCCGCTCTTGATTGGCTGGCCGGCCTGCCATTCGCGGGAGCGGCTAGCACTCCCCTCCTTCCCCTCCCTCCTCCCGCGAGCCCGGGGGTTCCACAGCGGGCCCAGTTCGAGTCAGTGTCATTCAGAGAGGCGGACTGCTGAGTGCTGGGAGCGGACGCGCGGCTGCAGTCCTGCTCGGGCGCCGGTGCCTGCGCTCGCGCCGCCGGGTGGGAAGGATGAAGCTTCAGCTGGAGCAGCCACCCTATGATTGGCTGTGGCGCTTGTGAACCCGAAGTAAAGATGGCGGGCGGGCAGGCAGCCGCCGCACTGCCCACTTGGAAGATGGCGGCTCGCCGCAGCCTCAGTGCCCGCGGCCGGGGGGTCCTGC